ACGCTCATCAGGGGTGATGCTTAGCTTGTTAATCAGATTAGTTTTTGTAGTGATCTCAACACACACCTTAGCAACACCATATTTTGTCCCCTGCATTGTTGGATAATCCATACAAAGAGGCCTCCCCAAAGAGCTAGCAAGACGCCCTAACCCTTCCTTAGACGTTATCTCAGATGGCAAATTGGACAATTGAACCCAGACAGGAACAACAGAGTTATCAATAGCTAATGGTTGAATACCTGGTTCCCATTTCCAAAGTAGGACCATGTTCTCTCGATGATGCCATGGACCTCCTTCGAAAACCCAGCGGCAAACTTCCGCATTCGGGAATTGAAATAGCACAAGACTCTCCCCTAGCCACGACACTCTCACCATCCCATCCCGCCCCCAAATCCAGTTCGCCCAGAAGTGAATTGAAGAAAGGGAAGCCGGTCGATCCATAAACTGCCCCACCAAGCTGTTTACCCATCGCTTCTCACTCTCATCGATCACCAACTTAGGTATCCGAAGAGACTCATTCACAAACTCCGGCTCATAATAGTCGAGCTGGAAATCAGGACTGACAGTGAAAAGGGAAGCCCAGGTGTGTCCGTCACCAACGGCACCTGAGGAGGCTCCGCCGGTGACGGGCGCCATCGATAAACCTAGCAACGCGTTTAGAGAAAATACGAAGAGAGTATTTAATGGAATAATTTTTTATTTTCACGTAATAGATATATCTTAAATTACCTCAGAGAAAAGTTATATTAATTCAGCTCCACATTTCAAATTGTCCACAAGTTTTACGACTAAATGACCCTATAAATGTCGTTATCTCGGTGGATGGTAGTCTCTCCCGGGTCTCGCTGAAAAAGCAAATGGACAAATTTATGGGCTGCTATTACAAGTTATACGGTGAAAATTTCGTTTATATAAGCCTCACATGAACTAGGTAGATATTTTTGCATATCACATCATGACATCAACCTCTATTAGACCTTGATGTTTCTGCTGTAGCGGACAATACCACAATTTTTTAGTTTTCAATAATCTCACCCAAATATGGTGATTTCAAATATAAGAATATTATTCACATAAAATAATCCACACCGTCTCTCTTATCTATATATTTCATTTGGGTGATATTTTTCTGATTCACGAATCACGACTATCAAACCTTTTCGTGTAAATTATCCGTAATTAAGGAGATAAAGTATATTTAAATGGTATATTTAAATTTCAATCCAACTTGATTGTAAAATAAATAAATAAATTTCATATATCGAACTAACTTCGAATTTGAACACAATATAAAAGATCTTTTAGAAGTATAAATTCCTCTAAACGGATAAAAGATACTGAATTGCTATTCGTCGCCCTAAAAATTCAAATTTTATCGCCCTAAAATATACTGAATTGACACTCTTACCCTCCTGTCCCATTTCTAAATAAAACCCTACAATCCTTTACCTTGCCCAGCCACCACCGAGCTGCTTTGTCTTCAGGCCGCCGCTGTCACGGTAGGATTCTTCTCTCGGCTGCCACCTCAAGTCGATCGTCGCCGGTGCTCTGCTACACCTCAACTGCCCACCTCAACTCCTGAGAATTCATCTATCCGACCCACTGCCCACCTCAACTCGATCACCACCTCTTTCCTACTGCTACCGGATTCTTCTGTTGCTGAACTGGCGCTATGCAATATGGAGTAGGTGGCAAATCCTCCGACCATATTCCAGGCGGGTCTACTTTACATTTTTTTTGGAACTTGTAATTGAAACTTGTAATTCAATCATTTATTTTTTGGATATTTTGTTTTTTTATTGTGTATAATTGCATGTGTTTGTTTTAGATTTCATACGTTTTGAAAAACAAAAATTAAGTTAAGGATATTTTAGTCATTTTAATAAAAGTTAGGGCGACGAATAAGGTGTTTTAGAGCGACGAATAGCAATGCCCTAAAAGATATAGGGTAAATTGCAAGTTTGGTTACTAGAATTACTAAATATTTTATGTTTACCACTAAAATTATTTTATTCTATCAGTGGTCATTAAGATTAGTTCAATAGTTCAAGTTTGATCACTATCCGTTAATCTCCGTTAAATTTTGTTTATGTGGCAGTCAATTCAGATAGTTGACCGTTAAATAAGTGATGTGACAATTAAAAAATAATAAAATCTAAAATTTCCACCTCATTATTGTAACTATTAAAAAAAAGTAACTATTCTAATCTAACCTCCGCTGCAATCTTTTGTCTCGAACATAGTCCCCACGCGGCAGCTGGGATTATGATCGGGAAGGAGCTAAATATCGATCTCACCTGGCGTAGGAGCTTCCTGGGACGCTTTGGGTTTGGGTTGTGTTTCTTTCGGCTGGGCTGATGTAGGGAAACGACGGCGGAGGCAGGAGGAGCCGGGGCAGGGAACCGACTTTCCAGCAACCGCTCTTGGAATCCACTCTGCCTCCTCGTCTTCCTACTACTGATATACCCTGTCGTCGTCAAACTCTCCTCTTCATTTGTACTCGGGTTGACGATGACTCAAATTGAATATTTTCCGCCGCCATCACCCCAAAGCAGAACTTCCCCTGTCCGGACGCGTCCGCCCAAATCCCCCACCGCGCCATATATTGGAACTTCACAATTGTTCCCTTGATTAAAGAAGACATATCTATCTATATATATTAATTATTAATTAATTATAAAAGCCTAACATGGGAGTCACTATTCATTAGTGCCTCTCACACTCCTCCAATTGCAAATGGGGAAGTTCCAAGTCCTTTTTTACCCCACTCTCCATTCTACAATCTTTGTGTTTAGTTATAGTTCGCTAGTTTTTCGTCAATGGTTTTTTGCACAAATCATCGCCTTTTGTGTTTTGTTATTGTTCGTTAGGTTTTAATCTATGGCTTTTTGCACAAATCATCGCTTTTGAGTTTAGTTATTGTTCGCTAGGTTTTCGTCTGTGGCTTTTTGCACAAATCATCGCCTTTACCCACCATTTTGCAGCCCATCTCGAAATACTGTCTGCAGAATCCTAAGTTGTTCCCCACCACCGTTTCCCAAGATCGCTACAACGAGTTTTGTATCGAGACCGAGTTTCATCCTTTTTAGTATTTTTTTTCTTTCTTTTTTCCCCTTTTTGTTGAGCATGATCACAATTAAACCCAAATACATGGGTATCCTAACTTGAACACAAATCATCGCCTTTGCCCACCATTTTGCAGCCCATCTCAAAATACTATCAGCGGAATCCTAAGTTGTTCCCCATCATCGTTTCCCAATGCTGCTACCACGAATTTTGTATCTAGACCGAGTTTCATTATCTTTAGTGTTTTGTTATTGTTCGCTAGGTTTTCGTCTATGTCTTTTTGCACAAGTCATCGCATTTGCCCACCATTTTGTAGCTCATCTCGAAACACTGTCGGCAAAATCCTAAGTTGTTCCCCATCATCGTTTAACAAGGCCGCTACCACGAGTTTTTGTATCAGGACCGAGTTTCATCCTCTTTAGATTTTTTTTTTAGCATGACGACATTTGAACCCAAATCCATGGGTATCCAACCTAATTCGATCCAGTCAAAGCGACTTGAAACCGACTTTAGCATTTATAAATTTCTTTTTTCTTCTTCTTTTGTTTGGGAAGACAATTGAACTCGAATCTAATGTTTTGACGAGTGTCGTATTGTGAGCGAGCTTTATCCGCTTTTGTAGTTGGCAGGTTGGACCACGTGTGAATTTGTTAAAAATTTGTGTAAAGCGAGTTGAACAAGTTGTTGACCAGTTTTAGATCGAAAGCGAGTTTAGTACGCTTTAAACTTTTTTATTTCACATATTTCTTTTCGTTGAGAATGACAATTGAACTCTGACCCATCGTTGACGCGTTTCGTATCTAGAGCGAGTTTTATCCGCTTTTGTAATTGACAGGTTGGGTAAATTGTGAATTTGTTAAAACTGTGTCGACCCGGTCAAAGCGAGTTGAACGCAGTGTTGAGAGTTTGGGGTCATGAGCGAGTTTTCTCCGCTTTAGTATATTTTTATCTTTTTTCCTTTTGGTTGAGAATGATAATTGAGTCCAAACGCATGGGCATACAACCTAATTTGACCCGACTAAAGCGACTTAAACCCGATTTTGGAGGTTTTCGACGGGAGCGAGTTTTATTTTTGTAATTGGCATCTTGTGTCAGGTGTGAATTTGTCCAAAACTCGGTCCAGCCAGGTCAAAGCGAGTTGAACTTGGTGTTGACGAATTTTGAATCGGTAGCGAGTTTTAGCTTCAGTGTTTATTATTTCGTTTGAGAAAGACAATTGAACGCAAATTTATGGGTATCCAACCTAATTTGACCCGATCAATGTGAGTTGAACCTCCTCAAACCTGCAATCAATCCAAAAATTTCATAAAGGAGAACCACAATGACCTCAAACAAAAAAAAAACATTCAAATTGAAATTTTAGCGTCATGAAAGAAGTTTAAACATAAATAATCTGTTCGACGGCCCCTCTACCTTATGCAAGTCCATCGACCATATGCTATTTTAAATAACAAACTTATGAAAAGAATGATTAAGAATGAAGTAAGATTACTTTCACTTTTGGGTCAACATTAAAACTATTACTCTTTAAAACATTTATCTTTGTGATACGCAAAGTGATAGCGAGCGGGGTTTTGCTAGTTAGAAGCAAAAGAAGGCTTTGGTTTTTGGTCGATTCTTGGATTTAGCTGGAAGAAGAATTACTTTTTTTAATAGTTACAATAATGAGGTGGAAATTTTATTATTTATTTAATTTTTAATATCCACATTACCCATTTAACGGTCAACTATCAGAGTTGACTTCCATATCAACAAAATTTAACGGAGACTAACGACAAGTGACCAAACTTAAAATGTTCAACTAATCTTAGTGATCGCCGATGGAATAAAATAATTTTAGTGACAAACATGGAATATTTTAGTAATTCTAGTGACCAAACATGTAATTTAGCCTACAGTTACCGCTATATCATACCCGTCTTCCTTCTCCACCTCACTACTCCTCCGAAACTAGCTTCAAGCTCCTCCAATGGCCGCCTCCTTCCTCGCTCCGCTCAACCAGACCGATCGCTCCCTCATCGCCGCATTCATAGCAATAATATCAGCTACAATCTGCTACTTTTGGGCCGTGAAAAGATCCAATAAAAAGCTAGCACCTCTGCCTCCAGGCCCACTTGGCCTCCCAATTCTAGGTTACATCCCATTCCTCAACGGCGCCCCAATCCACCGGAAATTCGCCGAACTCTCCGCCAAATACGGCCCGATCTTCAAGATCTGGGTCGGCAGCCAGCTGTACGTGGTGGTCAGCTCCCCGGCGTTGGCCAAACAAGTCCTCCGCGACAACGAATCCGTCTTCTCGAGCCGCGAGCTCCCGTTAGTTGGCCGGATCTGCACCTACGGCGGGCTGGACCTGGCCTGCCTCCCGATGGGCCCGGATTGGAACTCGATGCGGAAGGTCCTGGTCCGGGAAGCCCTCAGCAGCCCAGGCCTGGACGGGTGCTACGAACTGCGGAGGAGAGAGGTCGTCAAAGCTCTTAACGAAGTAGAAGTCGGTAAGCCGGTTGGCGTGTTCGAATTGGCCCACAAGGTGGTCGGAAATGCGACTCTGGGTATGCTGTGGGGCGGCGGCGGAGGAGGGGGGGTTGTTGGTGGCGATTACGGGGAGACTCGGGAAGTAGGGCAGCGGATTATGGAGCTGATGGCGAAGCCGAATGTTTCTGATCTGTTTCCGATGCTGGCGAGGTTTGATCTGCAGGGGATTGGGAGGGAAGCGGCGGAACTGGCGGAGAGGTTTGATCGGATTGTCAGCGCTGTGATTCGGAAACGATTAGACGGCGGCGGGGAGAAGAAGGGAGGCGAGATTGATAAGGTGGATTTGTTGCAGGTTTTGCTGGAGAGAAGGGGCAGTTCCGGCGCTGGATCGCCGTTGACTTCCATGGCGCACTTCAAAGCCTTGCTTCAGGTACTGCAGTTTCTGATCGGTTTTTCCCAGGCTCAAAATTGTTGAAAGTCAACGTTGAAGGAATTAACAAATATATATGGCCACGGCACCAAGCTTTTTTAGAAATAAATTTTATAAATGGTTAGGTAGAGACGTAGAGCAAAGGCTTAGTCTTGGTTAGGTTTGGTTTAATTTGGAATCTACACAATATAATAGCACAAAGAGAAAAACTGTTGCACTATTTCAAATTTTCTGCAACGAGAGTGAATGTAGGAAGAACATTTTGGTCTTCACAATTGTTTATTTATTTATTCATAAAAAAATAGGTTTTGAGATTTGAACCATGGTCACGTTAAAGAAAAACAAGAATCATAACCAAGCACACTAAGTTTATTTGTTGTATCTTTTTAAATTAAAAATATAACGAGTCTAAATTCTGAAAATCATGACTTTTTCAAAGATTAGCTGGTCACTGAATTTCCCGTAAATACTTATTTGGTTTTGATACTTTGATTTTCATATTTTGATTATTTTAGTTATATTTTAATACTTAATTTAAATTTCTATCTATCTTATCTACACATAATATAATATCAGCAAGGAAAAAACTCTTCCCCCATTTCAAATTTGCTGCTCCATGAGCGTTTGTAGTAAGGGTAGAATAGGTAGTGCGAATTTTTTTTCTCTTTCCTCTGTGAAATGGGCCAACTTACCGTACACGTGCGGACTTGAACGGGCCCAGAGATTGTTGCGGCCCACAAAAACAGAATAGGTTTCAGCCACGCACATTTGTTCGGTTGGACTTAGGATACCCAATTCGTGGGTTTCCAAGCCCACGTTCACGTTCCAATCCGCCAAAACACGAATTTCTGGCAAGTCGTATACAATTCGAGAATTGATTTCGGGGGGAGCGCAGATTTGTTGTGGGAGAACGCGGATCCGATTAAAACTACCCTTTTGCATAGAGTTTGGAAAGAAACTTTGAGCCATTAATTGGGTGAATGGGTGAAATAAGAGTAGACTCAACGAGAAGCGAGAACATTGCGACCATCGGCTCTAACCGGATGAAGGAGATTGCCGATTAATTGAGGTTGGTCGAGCGGAAAATGAAAGAACTACCAACGAGTAGTGAGATAGGGCTCTGAGATTATAAAGATACTTCGTTCTGGAGGAAACAAGGAGTTCCGGCGTTGGAGAGATATGATGACCACTACTCGACGTGGAATAGGAAAAGCAGACACCTTTGAATTGAGGAGAATCATCCACCGTCTCGATGCTTCTAGTTGATGAATAATATTGTCCTTTCTGTTTTTACATCAACGTAATTATAGACTTGTAGAAGTACTGGGGATGGAAAGCCCAAAGACCATTTACTAACAATCTTGAACTTTTTTTGTGGCAATAATTTTGGACTTTAATTTAGTTTTTACTCGAATTCCAAATTGTTAATTTTATGACGGGAAAAATGGAACGAAAGATTAATACAATCTAAATGCAATATTGTGAATATATACCCTTTTTCATATTATTAAACCTTTATCCATTAATATTTTACGGTTTATATATTGTTAATATAAACAAAATAAATAATATTTTGTATACTAATTGTCAATTATATTAATAGAAAATATTTATATATAATGTAATAATGACACTCTCATCACGCTCTCAACTTTAAGTTCTTCTTAAATAGACGCTCTCGCGCTCTCGCTCCAGCTCTCGCTACACGAACTGGTTACCTAAGGCCGGATTGATCGCCTACTCCCCCGCCGCGTCTAACCTTCTCACTGCAAGCCAGTTGCGGATCGAAGGGTGATTTACAACAAACTCACCGCCTATACCGACCTTCTACATCGATTCCGGTTCTTCGCGGTCAATTTCATGTGAGTGCTTCTTCCCGTTCTGATGAGGATTCCTCAACTTCTCAGTCTGACCGGAAGCTGTTTCAATACCCCTCTGTCTTTGCTTCTCTCCCGCCGACGAGCAGATCTAGTCAGGGAAGCGTGAAGGAGATTGGGTCGGGAGATCCATCAGATGTGTTTGCGATTTCCACCCTCCTTCCCGGCGATTCTGGGTTCGGTGGATTCATTGTGCTTTCTGGTTTTTGCCATGCCATGATAAAATCTAAAGAAATCAAGAACGAACAACACAATTTGGGATAGAAACCGTCGTTTCTGTATTTCTAGAAAATGGTGGTAAACACAGACTCAACTGTCGAACTGGTTTAGATTATTAAGAATTTTATCACGTGTCAGGGAACCATGTGATTATAAATTAGACTTGATCAAAATTTGCCTAAACTTGAAATTCAGCCTGTTTGACATATCCTATGCCAAACTCCAATTATTCTTGACTTTCAATCATTTTATTTGAAAATAAAAAATAGTGAAAGAAAAGAGAAGACTGCAATTCGCCATTTGTACATCACTACTTCGGGAACAAAACCATAGAAAGTCGAAAGGAAACTGAAAAATATTTAGGATTGTTTTAATGTTAAAAATAACCAAATGCATCTTTCTGTTTAGTTTTTTTACTAACAAATACCAAACGCTTCCTTATAAAATACACTATAATTTAATCATTATGATATCAAATAATTACATAATATATTTGAAATGATAAAAATTGGACTAATCGGGTTGGTCGAGGTTTAACCATTTAATAACTTTAAAATACTTTATATTTTTGCCATTCGGATATAAAATAATAGCATAATATATGTTTCAAATTCGAAAAACTAGGCTAATCGAGTTAGATCGTAGGTTAACCATTTAACCCTTTCCGTGAGTTGATGAATAGATTGTTTCATTCGAATTAATAACTTTGACGACAAGATGAAAGTTTTATAAAGAAAATTAATCGGCCAACGAGCCGTGTAAAAGCTAGCAACGATTGTGAGATGCTCATTTCTCTAAGACTGGAGGGATAGACGATTTTTTATTCGGTTTTCTAGAATTTGATTTCTATAAACTTACTCCACCTTCTCATATTACTAGAAATAATACTGTTTCATAAGGTAAAAGGCAGTGGCGGATCCAGAAATTTTACATAGGGGTGTCCACTCTCAAAAATTTAATTTAATTAAATAATTATTAAATATGAAAATATATGACTAATAAAAATTAAAATAAGAGCTCAGGCGTGTTTTATAAAATGGTAAAATACATTCGATGTCTATACGGCGTAAAAAATATCTCTTGACATATCCTACTAGACAAGGGTATCCCCTAATTGGGTTTAATTATATTGTTATGTTTTGAAAATAATTAGGGATAAAAATAACATTTTACTATTATATTTGGATCTAAACACTATAACAAATGAGTTGTAGTGTAATTGAAGATATGTTTACTAACAGTGAGAGTATCCCAAGTTTAAATCACATAGACTACTACTTAAATATTATTTGTACCAATACGGAAACTACTACTGGAGGTTGAAAATCTTTTTTCTGAAATTTTAAGGTATCCCACTACCACTTAAATATTTATTTTGCTCATACATAAACTACTATCGGAGGTTGAATAAGACTGATTTTTTATTGCATCATTCATGCTTCTTTTTTGCTAAAATTCACTATATTTATCACATGTTTCTAAAAAAAACTATACAACAATAATCTATACACCCTATTACATTATCAAATTTCATAACTCACCTCCCCCGCCAACTGGCCGAGGCTCCACGCTAGTGTTCATTATAAGTCAAAAAAGAGTAGTGGTCTAGAACAATGCAGCGAAAACTGAAAAGTAAGATTCTAACTAAAAAGGATAAAATTTGTAAAGCATAGAATTAAAGCGTAAGATTTTTATGCATATTGTTTATAGCTAAAAATGTGTTAAGTACGACAAATACTATGGAAAATATGAGTGCATAGTATTTAAGAAATACCTGCAATATAATTTATGTCTAAGGTAGAGCAACTCATAATATATTAAGAATAAGTTCATAAATAGTAGATCTTAACAATAAGTCACTTTTGTCTCTATGCTAATGAATTTGGAAAGTGTCTAGTTGGTGAATTAGATTAGTCTATTGAAGCTGAGAATACATCCAAGTACGTGGTATGTATTTTTTAATCTCAAATGTATCTTATTGTTGGTAATTTGCCTTTGAAATATACTTTTCATGATTAATTTCATGAACAGAATACTCATTTGGTGAACCAGAAGTGTAAAGCGTAAAGTGTTTTGGTGAACTAAAAGCGTAAGCTTTAAAGCGCAATTTAGACCAATTTTATACACTAAAAATTTTGTCTGGAAAAGAAAGCGTTTTGGTGATCTAGAAGCGTAAAACCGTAAGTTTTTAAGTTTTAAAACACGATTTTGACTACATAGAGTAGTTAACAAATATGGCTACCAATATCTTTTTTTAGTTAACTTGTTATTGAAGTTTGGAATTAATGACTAATAAAGTTGTTATCTCGCTTGTAAAAGAAACAATCATGTAGTTAAACTGTCTAAATTAGGATGTCAATGTCCCTAAGTCAATATGAGATGATTCAAATAAATGTATTAGTTAGTTAAAAATGGATCATCCATGTCAATTCATAGGTGTCATGGAAGTTTTTCTATTACCACAAATTTACTTTACATACTAATCATATTAAGTAAAACTACTATTTTAATAAAAATACTCTATCGCGCTGATTTTATCACGTACAACCTGATTTTACAGTCATTGATCAATATATGTTGGCAGGACGTTGCCGTTGGTGGGAACGAAAACATAGCCAGCACAATCGAGTGGGCAATGTCAGAATTACTCAAGAGCGACAGAGCAATGAAATCCGTACAACAAGAGCTCGACGAAATCGTGGGGCCCGACAGCCTCGTCGAAGACCACCACTTGAAAGATCTGAAGTACTTGGACGCCGTGATAAAGGAGACCTGCCGTTTGTACCTGGCCCTCATGAACCGGACGGCGAGCCGAGCCTGCACCGTCGGCGGGTACACCGTCCCGCAAGGATCCAAAGTGTTCGTCAACTCGTGGGCCATCCACAGGGACCCGCAGTTCTGGGCCGAGCCGTCGGAGTTTCGGCCGGAGAGGTTTCTGGACGGCGGGACGTTTGATTTGATGGGCAGCAGCAGCAGTTTCCGGTACGTTCCGTTCGGGTCGGGTAAGAGGATCTGCGCGGGGGTCAATTTGGCGGAGAGGCTGCTGAAGTATGTGTTGGGTTCGTTGTTGCATTGTTTCGAGTGGAGGCTGGCTGATGGGGAGGAAGGAGGGGTTGATCTTTCTGATGAGTTCACGCTGTTCATCAAGAAGAAGAGGCCGCTGGTTGCGGTGCCGGCTGCTCGGCTGGAGCTGCTTGCTTAAGTTGGTAGTTGTGTAAGTTGGTGGTTGTGTAATTTACAACGATAGTCCTGGTGTTTGGAGTGGAGAAGGGAAGAAAAACAGGGGAACCCCAGTCAAATATATCGCAACGGGCAATAATTCTTCATTACAATATCGTGCACATATATATGTTCGTGTATATCTACATACTGGCAAACTTTTGCCATACTATCAAATCATCCGCTTACTATTACGTGAATATCTATCAAAAAAATTATTCGTTTGTCTATGTTAAAAAAAATTATATTATTTTTGGTTTATAAATTACCAAGGGTTTTCTATCATAACCCTTATAATATTTTTTTCTAAGATAATCCTTCAAATTTAAACATTTTCTTGTTGTGCCCCTAAGTCTTTAAAGACGGTTAATCTTCTCTTTAAACGGAGATCCAATTGCTCATTTGACACGCTAATTAGATTTTGACTCAATTATAACATCATGTAATTACAAAGTTATTATGACCAATTTAATCATTTTTACCGTTTCGAAAAAAACATAAGTCGATATATTGATTTTGATTGGAAATTGTAAGGTGAAACACATGGAAGGGATTAGTTAGAGAGGGGATTAAAAATATGGAGGAATATTTTTTTGTCGTTGTTGTAATTATGTGACTTTTTATGGGCACAGGCTCTATAGCAATGGTTTGGTAGGTCGCAATTTAAACGGAGACTAATGAACTTTGAATGTTAAGGGTCAGATTAGGGGGAAACTATACTTCAGGGGTCAAAGAAAAATAAATAGTTCACAGTCCTTGATAGAAAAATTATGATAATTTAGGGATAAAAAATGCTATTAACTCAATAATCAAACATCTATTTTCCTAATACTAGCTTACCCATTAGCGTAAGTGTCAATCCAGATGGCCCCTTGGTTTAGTGGGGTCATTTATGGATGTTTAGTAGATTATGACTAAATTGATTTTTGCATAAGAAATTGATTGTGAAATGAAAATATTTCCATTTATCTCACTAAAAAGACTGAAATTTAACTAGTTGAAAATAGACATTTTCAAGATTACACTGCATTTAAATTTCATGCCACTCATTCATATTTGATATATACCATTGAGTGTATTGGTGTAGCGATCGTAGTGATTTAATTCTTATCATCTTGTGAATATAACCACGTTGGTTCCAGTGCAATACATGAGGTGGACCAGATTGTTTTAAGAGATGTCTAAGTACAAATATCATATTGTTCCGCGTCTAAATAATTTTTGATATAATTGTTTCAAGAAAAACTAACTAACCACCTTTTCTTCATCACTTCATGGTACTGAGATAGAGCACTTCGGTAGCTATTAATATTTCAAGTAAAATGCAGACACTTTCCCAAAAACTTACTAACCATTTATTTAATAAAATAAAGTGTGTAGAAGACTTATAAATCACTTACACTCTCTTTCTCATTGTTGTCACGCCGGTGAAATGTTGCTGGTTGAATCCGGTACAACCGATATCGGTCACGAAATCGACATGAATACTACTGGTATAACTGATTTCCGGTTTCTAAATAAAATGACATTGTTTTAATAAATTTAATTAACAAAATATATTTGCAAACTATTTCATGAATTTGAAAGTTAAACGTTGATGTTATTTGGTGAATTCAAGTATAAAAGTTTTGGTGGTGACGTCAAATATTGTATTTAAATATGTGTACTTGTTATTTTGTTTGATATATTGTATCTTATTTAAATATGAATGTAGATTGTCAGTAAATTGTCTTTAAATATGTTTCACATATGATTAAATACAATGATGTTAATGGTAAAATATTTCTACATATTTTGTTAAACCAGCATGAACCAATTATACGACCGGTCGAATCATATCACTTGCTAAACCAACACATGATACAATAACATAAACTGGTTTGACAACCTTTCACTCTTGGTATTTTCACAGACTAACTCTAACACTCACCACATCACCATTTTTTTTTACAGTAGGACACATGCTTTTCATTATTTGTGGAAGAAGCCAATGGTTACAAAAGAGGAGCAACAACATCTAGAATATGAATCCATTTGTTAGGCAGTTGGTTCCGAGCACAAGCTCTTGCCACCCAGTTTGCCTTAGAGTTGAGCTTCCAACTGAAAAACTCGATCTATATCCATGGACATGTATCACAGATCTGTCTGATTCTACCAAACCAAGCTGCTGCTCGCCATGGCCAAGAAACAGGCGATCCATGAATTGCTTTCACTTCACCAAAGAAAGGTAGTACGTGCGAATGAGGCAGGGTAAACCGAGTTCAATAGCCAAACGAGACCCCCCCCCCCCCCCCCCCAAGAAGGGCCTTGGCTTCTACTTCAACTGGAGAAAAACAGTGTAGGGGCTCAGCCTTCCCATTGCACACTTGACCATGGTTGTTTGAAACGACAACGCCATAAGCCGCCTCCTGGGAATCATGCAAGAACGATCCATCACAGTGTATCTCAAAATCATGAGTACCTGGCGGTGGTGAAGTATGATCCAGGGGTGGATTGGGTTGAGTGGATGGTTGATTGATTGTCCTCTTTTTAGGACATGATGTCCATTGCTGGAAACTGCAAAGTGCACTGGAGACAGTATCAGGAGGCCAGAGCCTCTTGTTCTTGAAAATGTGGTCGTTTCTAGTCTTCCACGTCTGCCACGTCTGGAAGATGATTCTGTGGATCGTAGAAATAGGGTACCTTTGGCAAAGGGACGATAGCCATTCGAGAATGCCCGTGTGACGAGGGGGAATAACCAAGGATGGCCATTCGACCCTCCACCCTTCTGCAGCGTGTGGGCAGAAAAAGAGGCAGTGATGGGTAGATTCCACAGGGCAAATGCAAAGTGAGCATTGTTTGGAGGGAGAGCACCGTCGAGCGTAGAGGTTTTCCTTGGTGGCCAGCACTTCTTTGCTGCTTCTCCAAATGAAGAAATTTAGTTTCGGCGGTAGAGACAGACTCCACAGCCATTTCCAGCGTTCTTTACTTTCTTCCAAAACTTCCTGAAAATCTCCTTGAGCCATACGAGATTGGATGTGGAAGCAATGGAATGCCAACTTGACCATAAAATTACTCTGTTCAGAAAAGCGTCAGGCCCAGAAATCTTCAAACGATTTCGGGCCAATAGGAGTGCTTGTAACCTGTTGAAGCTCCAATGGAGGCAGAAAATCCTCCAGCAAATCAAATTTCCACGCTCTAGTAATTACGTCAATCCAATTGTCAACGGTTGCCGAGAAAGAATTCCCCTGTGGGAACAGATTCCCCGCCCTTGCAAAGAGCCATGGATCCTGAAATATTCTTGTAGTTCTCCCGTTGCCAATTACTCTGATAAAGCCTTCTTCCATCCATTTTTTCGCTTCCCACATGCTGGACCAAATCCAGGCCTCCTTTCCTTGCGGACAAAAAATCAGATCGAGGGAAGTAGAGGGCTTTGAGAACCTTAACCTACAAGGCATCCGGATTGGTCAGGATCCTCCGGGCTTGTTGTGCGAGGAGGGCCAGGTTGAACTCGTGAAAAGGTCTAAAATCGAGACCTCCTTCACTTTTTGGGGCATAAAGAACTCTGTCATCTCGCCAGTGGATGGTCCTTTTTGAAATCGAGCCTCACCAAAAGAACCGTTTGAGTATGAAGTCCTTCTTCTTTGTTGTAGATCGGAGGAGCAGGAACAAACACATGATGAAGGAGGGAATAGCTTGGAAAACCGCTTTCAACAGTGTTTCCTTCCCTCCCAGTGAAAGCAAAAGGCTCTTCCATGTCTCTCCTTTGCTTTCCATTAGTTGAATAAGGAAGTGGAATGTTTTTGCTTTACATCTTCCCCTTTCTATAGGAACTCCTAAGTATTTGGAATGGTAGTTGGAGTCAGCAAACCCAATGGTTCTGGTAATAGTGTCTTGTTCTTCTCTAGTCACATTGTGGCTGTAAAAGAATGATGACTTCTCCCTATTAACTTTTTGGCCTGTGATTGTCCCATAATTCTTCAAAATTTTCAGGATTCTTTCAGCTTCGTTAATCGAGACTTCTCCAAAGATAACTGTATCATCTGCAAAAAGACAATGAATTAGGGTCGGGCACAATCTGTTGAGCTTCAGCCCCTGATATCGTGACATCGAGCTGATCGTTCAATCAGGAATGAGAGGGCCTTTACCATTTACCATTGCAGCTGAGCTGACCATTACCAGTGTTCGTTCTAGTTGCGTTGTCCATTACATAGAGGTCATCTTTGGATATTTATTAGACGTGAGAAAAGCGCATCCAAAAATGGATTGACAAACATAGAAAAAAACAAAGGATGTCACTGTAACATTCTATATCCATTCGAAATCTAGGATACACCGTAGCTGCAGCGAGTGTCCACCTCAAGAAAGAAAGCAGCATCCACTTTTTTAAAGAAAGCAAAAGGGTTGAAGGCTAATTACTGATTAAGACATAAATAATGCAGACAAAGCAAGAGACTAGGCCACTAGACTAAGCTCCAGGGGATTAACTGATAAGTTACAAAAAAACGATGGTTCTTCTTCTATAGTGGTTGGCACTTGGCACGTAGTCTTTGGTAATACGCTTTTCCCTTTCAGTCATACAGTGCTCAGTTGTTGAAGTGCGCATCTTCAGTTGCAATTTGGTTTCCCTGTTTGCCTCTCTTCCATTGGCCACCCTCCTTTGACATTCAGTCTGATTCTTATTCCTTTGTCGAATAACTCACTCACTTTTCCTTTTCCATGGTGATATAGCCTATAGGTGATTTCCCACAGAGGATATCAGTTCGAGCAAAACCTGAACAACCTGAGGCTAATCCAACTGCAGAAGAAACCTAAAGAGTGTAGAACTTTGTAGTTTGCATAGGAAGCAGTGGGGAACTCATATTTGGCATTTACCATTCTGTGTGCTTCCAAGCTTGCAGATCAACACCATCCACTCCCCATTTTCAATCTCTCGGGGAAAATCAATCAAATTCAACTTTTGCTAGTTCAATCCTTCATTCTAAACGAATCTCAAGCATCTCCCTATCAAAGGATCCAACCGCAAGTTAACAGAATGGAAACAATCGTCCACTCATACATTTGTTCTCTCCCATTAGTCCAGCTGACCACAAATGATGTTGGCAGAATCCCTATAGAAAGTCGAAACCAAATGGGATATGGAAAATCCTAGCGTTGAGAATTGCCATGGTATTCTGCTAAGAGACAGCCTCATCAGAATCCAGCTCCCACCAAGAACCAGAATCTTCCCTCTCCACAACACCACCACCCATTTCATCACCTCCACCAAAGACACTATCATCAACAAATTCTCCACCGCTTTCAGTCCCATTGTAGAATGCATCCACAGCAGCATAAGCGTCTCTCTCCTTCTCCGGATCAAACCTCCACTCCAACCTCTCCAAAATCTCACGGTCGCTCCATTTCTCCACAACTGAGATGGCTTCCTTCTTAGCCTTCCCCATCAAAACCTCCTGCCAAGAAAACCCTGCATCAGCAATCCTCTTCAACGCCCCATGCTCCAAATTCCCAACAATGACGGTCTTGAAACACCTTGACTTCGACTCCTTAACCACACCAACGAAATCTGAATCATCCGAGACAAGAACAACACACTCAGCCTTCTTCTTGTCCATCACATCCACCATATGCTCCTTCAACGCCACATCAGCCGCCTGTGGCTTGTTCGAAACAGTCCCAACCCAAAACCCTGCTCTTTTTAGCTCATCTGCCAACCCATACCCAGTTTTCGGAGTCAAAACGTCCCTCGAAGCATTCTTGTACTTCTGCATCTTCATAGCATACTTCCCAACCAAATTCACCCTCCTCTTCCCTCGAGCCGATTCGATCTGGTTCACTCTCTTCTGATGCTCCCTCTCGTGGATCTGTTTGAAGTGATTGACCATCTTCTCGTTGTTGTAGAACTTTCTCCCGCAAACCTTGCAGACATAGGGCTCTACTGGCTTAATGACGCCCTTGTTTTCTAATTGGTTCAGCAACTTCCTATCTTTCCTCTGCTCTCTCACTGCTTGCGGCACATAACTAAAGGCGTGCCGATTGGCGTAAGCCACCGTGTGTTGAACTAGCCCGAATGAGGATGCTGCCCTTTTGAGCTTCATGGCTGCTTCAAATGGAGGAATCGAGTTAGGGGGCTTATTGTCCAGATCCCAGAAAATTGCCACTGTGGGGGTATTGTGGGGCGTTTTGGGTGGTAAAGTAGTTGACTTTGTGTTGAAATAGCGGAATCTACACGAATCAAGAAATGGGTTGTGGTTTTTCAGCTGTGCCCATTGAAGGGAGTAGTGGGAGAGCCAGCGGAAACTAGGGAACATAGCGGTTTTCTTAAAAGTGTGCCGTCGATTCTTATATAATGAAAGAGCGGTTATACAGTTGTGGAGAGCGTAAACTTACGATGCTGGAAAGGGACGCAGATGGAAACGGTAGTATTTGGAACCTCGAATTAGGTTCTGGCTTCGTCGAAGTTCGCTTGGAATTTGCTGGAAAGATGAAGATTTTCAAGAATAATAAGCGAGACCCTAATTTCGTCATTCATCGTCCTCGACTCGAATCAGCCACAAGAGGCGCTGTTGGCGCCTCATTTTAGTAACGCTGAGTCGCTGCCTCGCTGGCCGACTAGCAGGTGCAAAACGTCGCCGTAGATCCGTAGTCTGGGTCCGGCTGTTAAACCCCAGACACGTGCTCAGGGGCGGAAGAGAGAGAGACCGTGAAGCCAACTGGTCCGTCGATCAATCATAGTCATAGCGGAGAGAGTTTGCGCGAGAAAACTGAAAAACAGAAGGGAACAAAGGTCATTGCTGTGCTTTTCTCGGCGACCCCAACAATCAAGTGATCGATTCCTCCCTCTCGCAAATTATAAAGCTCTGACCTTTTTCCCTATGTGAGGCTTTCTCATCCCCAATCGGGCAGGAAGCGGGGCGGAAAATTGAATTAGTAAAGCAATGAAAGGCGTCTTAGCGGCGCCGGGAGATTATGTCCACTTCAAGTCCCAAGTTCCTCTCCATAAGATCCCCGTAAGTCTGAGTACCCAAAGTTCCTCTTTAATTTTGGGGTGTTATTAGTTACTTCCAGTGGGCATGCTTTTGTTTTGACTGTAGACTGTTCTTTTCACAAAGTTAATTTACTGCTGGGTTGCCCATGATCACATAATCTAGGTGTGTTGTTGATGTTCCTGCATGTATGTGTTGAACTTGATTCTAGCTTCTGCTATGGATTTGGAAGCCTGAACTAGAATTGGGAGCTTTGGCTAAGTAATTAAACTGTTTGTGATTGTCAATTGTTGGACATGCGGTTTTTCCTGGTCAGTTTATAAGTTGCACAGGGATTTTCTTCCAGCATTATCTTATCACAGATGGATTCTCTGGATGGTGTTTTGATGCTCCGCTGCTGATCTTGTTCTTCTGTAGCACAATGAGTTTCCTCTTTATAGCTTGGTCTCTTGTAGCGGCAGCTATTGATTAGAATGCCCTTTCTTCCCTTTTTTACATGTTTTATGTTCCTCGTATAGATTGGATCAAAGCAGTGGTGATACTATGATTTTGATCCCAAAACGGTTCCTCCTCTTATTTGTCTTCCTGGAATAGCAGACACCGCGGATGTCTACTACAAACAGATTATGGCACTGTCTATAAAGGTAATTTTCCAGCTCTCTTGCTATATTATTTCAACTGTCCATAGAGTTGGTATTTTAATGGTTCAAGTGTATCTCGGAAGAATGTTTAGCAGCAAGCCGATAGCCCGATATATCACATTGGAATATTGGAGATGATATCATATTAGGCTCTATAATGCTCCATCTACGTGCTTAAAAATCAACGAAGGTGTGATGCTCCAGCCTTGGTAATTCTCGGGTTATTTTTTGGATGTATGATTCTTTTCTGCGTGAACTTTTACATATGCTTTAGGGAGGACTTCATATGCCTTAAGGATGCATGTTAATTTAAAAGTTTTTTCAATGTGTATCTAATGATCAATTATTTATTTTCAATATTATGATGGCATTTGGATTGTATTTCACAACGTGTTTAAAATATGTAGGGATAGCGGGTGATCTCTGTCGATATTCCACGTGTTTGGAATCATATGGAATGGATTCAGGAGTTTGACAAGTTTTTAGATGTCATCAATGTTCATCATGTAAGAATCCTTCTTCGATATGCCCATTTTCTTTTGTTGAACAGTTTGTTCTCTGTTCGTATATTTTATGTTGCATTTGCTTCTCGTGCCAACAAACTCTAGTTGTCCTTCATTTTCCTGGCATAATCCTGTTGACTTGTTAGAGGAACTAACTTTATTGTAAATATGACAGATGCATCTCTATGGTACATCTCTTGGAGGCTTCTTGGCTCAAATATTTGCTCGGCATCGTCCAAGGAGGGTGAGATCATTGGTCCTGTCAACTACATTTTTGGATAATCAGAGTTTTGCAGCAACAAACTAACTTCCAGAGTACTAATGGGTTATGCAGTGTTAGTTTTTCACCTTCATTTTTGCTCAAACGATATATCTTGACCGGGATTCAAGATGGTCCCCACGAACCTTTTATTGCAGACTCAGTAGACTTCGTTATTGCTCAGGTACAATTAAACCCATTTGGTCTGTTTACACATTTTTATCCTCCAATTTTAAAACCTGCTTTCAAATGCTCCTCCTCAGGTCGAAACACTTTCGAAGGATGATCTAGCGTGAAGGCTGACATCGAATGTTGATGCCACATCAGTTGGATCTCTTCTCCTTTCAGATCAATTCATCACTATCATGGATGTGAGTTTCACCTGATCCTGTTTCAGCTACTCACCAACTTTTCTTGTATAACAAGGCAGTGCTAGTTTTTTCTTCCTAACTGCTGTATTTTGGTTATCCTGATGCCCTCCTGAAAAGACGAATGATTACTGTGCAACACCTCAGCAACTTAGAGATCAGTTGAGCGAGAGGTACCCCGAGGCAAGACGAGCTCACTTGAAGAGTGGTGGTGATTTCCCATTTCTTTCACGTCCAGACGAAGTCAACTTGCACCTCCAGTTTAATAATCTACCGTAACTAACTAGCTCAAGGGGACAAGTAAGCAGCGGAGGCATTTGTTAATGAGCTCCTCAACAAGGCTGTTTTGACCGTACGGAGATATGGTGCAGCGGAGGCATTTGTTCATCACTTGGTTGCCTCTTACGTGGGATATGTGTACATTTGTTTGAACTATGGTTCGGATTTCAGGCAAATGTTAATGGAGCGACAACGGGTGTGCATGCTGCTCCGTTGAATTTTTCATAGGGGTGGGCACGTGGGTGGTTAATCCGCGGATTGATATCGATCCACCCGCAAATAATCCGACCCGTATGCAGTGGGTGATTGATGTGGGTGGATTGCGGATGGGTAAATCTCTCACCCGCACTTATGTGGGTGGGTGGTGGGTGGATTGCGGGTCACCCATGTGACCCGCATCCTATTTTTACATGAAAATGTTGTTTCTTATAGTTTCGAATATTCATCATATTTTCGAACTGCACTACAGTCTAACCATATACTTCAAAAGTTGGAGAATAAATAATAGTTTTGACTACTATTATCGGTCATTTTGTTGTGCAATATCCATTAGATATTGGATATCGGTATGCAAATTATTGTTAATAACCATTAAATAATGGGATACAAATTATAATTTATTAATTGTATCAAAATCACAAATTATTGATATGGTCTTGCTAATTTGCTATGAACTTATTATAAATGTTAGTCAACTTTCTTAATGGCTAGATGGAGAATTGTTTTTGCGGGTTCACCCGCGACCCAACCGCACCCATCCGCCACCCACCCAACCCAACCCGCAGGAGTATGTGGGTGGATTGTGGGTCAAAATTATTCCAAATCGCCAATAAACGGGTGAGTTAATTTGAGACCAAAATCCATCCAACCCGCCCGTTGCCCACCCCTAGTTTTCCACAAGCGATGTGGCACGAACAGATTTTATAATCTGGTGTTTGGTAGTGGTGTTGCATTGCATATCACAAATTATTGTAAAATTTGGCGTTCGAAGGTTCTTTCACAAGTTTTCAGTTAGGTTCATGGTTACCATGAGATTCCGAGCAGACCATCACCATTGTATAGGGTACGATTCTGAACTGCTTTTACAAATACGCTGGTTGAAACTATTAGTCTTTACAAGTTTATCTTAGGTGGCTTTTCTTATTGTTTGTACATTGTTGTATTCTTCTCAAGAAGCTGGGTGCAAGTAACACCCTCATCCGTTAGAATACTAACCATTGGATATCAATATCATCAAGCATACTAAGCAGACTGTCAAAATATGAACTCTTTGAGAACATCAACTACAAAAGTTGCCTTCTGCACAAGAAAAAAAATGAAGACTTGGGAGTTGCGCCTCCAATAATGTGGTGAGCAGTTGCTCGATGGCTACTGAGATAAAAACGAACGTGAGTAAGAGATGATTGGTTGTAGGCTTTTGTAATTTGTTGCAATCACAGAGAAAACTAGGATTACCAGTAATTCATCCATAGACAAACCTTCCAGAACCCATCTTCCAGATGAAACTCTCGTTAATCAGAACTCGAATAATGGTTTTGGTGCCACCTCTCATGCTTGTAGTGATATGAAGGCCATAACGATTAGGGTCAGGAATAAATAAAGAGATTTGTGTATTCTACATCTCATCCAAAGCTTAGAGGTTACCTTGTACAACATATCTTCACAGCATAACCATAAATGCATAATGCCAGACAACTCTATTCTTAATATTCCATTAACTTACAGAATTCTCAAGTCATTGCAACACAAAAGGAATCTCAAAGTAGCTATAAATTATAATTGTTGGAGAGAAATCCCCACCATACAAGAAAGGAAAACAAGATGCATGTAGTAACTGAGGAACAGCAAGTCAATGCACTTGTCCAAGCACTGATCCCTAAAACCTCGAGAAACCGACTACAAGGTCTCTCATGGTTGTCAGCAACAGATTCCATTTGCACATTTGCAACAAAACCCTCCGTCCACTCCTCTACCCAGCTGTCCTTGTCTTAAAACCCTAAGCAACCAGAGTACTTGCTGTAGTAGACTCGCTGCATCGAAATAAAATAAATATCAGCAATGCAAGTCATGTAAATCAGGCGTTTCTATTAACAGATTCACCAGAGATTTCATCTGATTGAAAATATCAAGTACCAGATGATGATTAGCCATCTAAATAACACATTACAGAAGTAGAGCAGCCAAAAACACAGCTCATTGATATGGTTCATCAATACTTAGGGTCTTATCTAGGGATGGCAATTTACCCACCCATGGGTAATTTTGCCCAAATCCAAGTAGACCCATTTATTATGGGTAGGATTTGGGTGATGTGTGTATGGGTTTGGGGTTTGTATATGGGTTTGGGTTAGATATGGATATTATCTAAATGGGTATGAGTTGGATATGGATATCCATTTACTTGAGGGTGTTTTAACTACACATGCAAAAATTGGACTTATTTGTAAAACTTGAAAAATTTAGGTACCAAAATGTAAGACCAAAAAAATTTAGGTACCAAAACGTAATTTTCCATTGATATTTTGAGGACTTATATGCAAAAAAAAAATTAAATTTAGGTACTAAATATGCATATCTATTAAGTTTAGGTACCAAACTGTAATTTGTATTTGGGCATGAGTACAAACCCAAATCCATTTGTTATAAACCCAACCCAACCCAAAGTAAATGGGTATGGGTACAAACCCATCAAACTTTACCCATATCCATATATTTGAATTTTATACCCAACCCAATTGGGTTGGATAGTGAAATACCCATGGGTATGGGTAAAATTGCCATCCCTAGTCTTATCGAACCAGATTAGAGAGGCAGCTTGTAGCCCTCTTTTAGCTCCCATTATTATGCTACAAAAAAGAGAAAGGAGATCGAGATTCGGGTTTTTCGATTCAAAAAGAGAACTTTCATGCACAATATCTGACTAAATAATTGAACCGTCCATGTCTAAATGATATGGCTCATCAATACTTAGGGTCTTATCCAACCAGATTAGAGAGACAGCTTATAGCCCAGATTTAGCTCTGGTTTTTTTTATGCTACAAATTCTAAGTAGTTAGCCATAGTAGAGGCAAAAGGAGATCGAGATTCTGGTTCTTCAACTAAAAAAGAGAGCTTTTATGCACAATATCTTCCTAAATAACTCCATGGAAGAACCCTCCATGTCCAAATGATCAACTCACCAACCCATAACAACACTCGCTAAATGCGTCACATGCCTTCATTCCTTTATACCGAGGCGGGAAAATCAAATCGCAATTCTCAATACAACACAAGGGCAACATTTCTGTCATTGCAAAGTTGAAGATAGATTCTGAAAAGTGGGGAACAATGGGATGTAGAGAAAGGAAAAACTCACTATTTCCAGACGGGAGGGAGCTTCTTGGTGCTCTTGTAGTAGCGGGCGAGCCTATGAATCCTGCTCTCCACCAGAATCAACCTGAACTTGGAATCCTTATCCTTCCTGTTCCTCTCCAGATGCTTGCGAACAGCCACAGCCTTCTTTATCATGTGGTAAAGATCCTCGGGGATCTCCGGCGCCATTCCGCTGGCTTTCAGAATACGCAGAATCTTGTTCCCCGTCACGCTCTTCACCTGAGCAATACCGTGAGAGTCCCTGAGGATCACGCCGATCTGTGACGGCGATAGACCCTTCTTCGCGAACTTGCAGATGTTCTCCTCGACCTAAATTAATTCGCAACAATTAAATTAAGACTCTGAAAATCGAAGAGAAAGTGAAGGAAAAGGAAAAAGAGAAAGAATGGCGGCGGGAGCATACATCTTGAGCAGTTGTTTTGAGCCAACTGTGAGGAGTGCGCTTGTACTTGGCAGCAGAGGCGGAGATGCCTTTCCTGGTAAACAGAAACGAGATCAGAACAAATTACGCCATGGAAATTAGATAAGGCGAAGGAGATAGAGAGAGAAGCGAACCCGCGGCTGTGCATACGACCCATGGTGGAAGGATTGCGGGGACTGCTGCCTTGAAGCTGTGAAGAGGATGAAAGCTGGGAAGCAAGTTGAAAGCGCAGCGAAGTGACCTAGTGACTGGTTTGCGGTTTGGTTTTATATTTAGAGAAGAAGATGTAGCGTGGACCGATATGTGCGGGCTTCATTAATTGGACTAAAGAGCCCAGTTGATCAGAATGAATCAAGCAGTCGAACAGGCCCATTACTAGCCCAAATGTCGAGGGAGGTTATACTCTTGTTATATAGGTCCGTTTTGGAGAATGGTCAAGGACAAGGGTGCTGCATAGTGGTTGTTTTGCAAATTGTATCGTGCTGTAATTATGATGTGAGTGTTTGATTTCTGTCAGGTGAGCATAATTTCATTCTCCTCAACTATTTACCGCTCTATTCCAGCAGTCGTGACAAATTGTCAGTAGTTGCAGCCACTAGTGCTAAAAAACAAATATACTTGAGAGAGCAAGATCTGAAGGGTGATAACAGAAAAGACAACGAAATAACGACAATATACGCAATTCGGCATTTTCCTGACAATATCTAATGGTAGCTTACCAATTTGGTTTCGATATTTTTGGTTTAAATCAAAACCGAACCGATAAGCCGGTCTTGTAGATTTATGGAATTGATTTCAAATCAATGTGTACTGATCAATTTCAGTCTCCGTTTAAACCGAAAAATCAATAAGAAACCAAACTCATATTGCATTAATGGTCGCATATTGCATGTCAGACCCATAGGCTCCTTCTTTTTCCTCAGTCGTCCTTTGGATACGCCATTGTTATTGTTTGAGGAAAAAAAAGACGAAGAACCTCACTTTTTACGACTATTTCGTCGGGAAAATCTCAAAATAACAAAATCCTAAAAGTGAAATTGATGAGAAGCGGGAAGACAAGAAACGAAAGACAACTCATAGGACTTTAGTATTTTGCATATACATTTTCTTTTGGATCTCCGACTCTCCGTTTTCATTTTATCTATCACCACACATGTAGAGGATTTATCGTCGTCTATGAAACAAATGTAGTTGGCATTCGCGGATACAAAATTTCATACTACTTGGCGATGAGGACGCACTCACTCCAAAAACGGAGAGGAAGCCTTTCTTGAAAACGTAAGGCATGTGTTGTTTTGCAGAATAATGTATGATTTCTCATAATATTTCCATAATGGATTCATTGAGAACCCACTATCGTTATCCGTTTGTATATGTCTAATATGTTTACCAAACTGTGTTTACACCATCTCACAGAACATAACAATATATCTAGCAAACTCAAACTTAAACTTTATCAAATAAACCCACACATTGCTACTAAAGTCATCAACTATCTCAAAAAATAATGAGCCTTGCTGAGAGAGGCCATTTGATATCATCTCCATATATTTGTGTGCACCAACTGAAAACAATCCGAGGTTTTGATATGACTAGAAGTAAGGGCAACCTTTTTATTTTGGCACAGGAACAAGAACGACAATGACTTTTAACTTTGTTTGTTTGAAAAGAAACAAAACGACTAAACTGAGCAACTTTTTCGGCGATAGGTGACATAGACGACTATGCAAAACTTTTTAGATGTTTGTTGCATACCATCGGCTGCAAATACGAAACTCTCATTGCTCCAAAAATAGCTTGAAGTAATATAGACTTTCACGAAGAACCCCCTTCCCAATCACGCTACTGGAGCGTAATTCCTGAAGCACACGCAAGGCGAGGAGAAATATTAATAATGCATCATTATCTTTTGTTAACTAGCTGACAGACGATAAGTTGCAACAAAAATCTTGCACACATAGAATCGATCTAGCCGGAAACCCTTAAACAGTGACCTACCAAACACTCTTGACAAGGACACGATCGTCGTTGGATATTCTAATGGGCTGGCTAGCAGTACTAATGCCATCATGGCTTAACCAATGTTCATCATTGGTAATGTTCTCATTACACCGAAATTGATTAACAAATCAGAATTGTTAAGAGAAATAGCAGCCATATGAACTGAAGAATTAATGATTGGTGTTGACTATCCAAAAAAAATCTTCTGCTATTCGAGTTAGATCATGGTGTAACCGGGGACATAACTAGTTTCAAAGTCAGCTTGGGCTTCCTCTGGAGCTCCTAACGGATTATGATGCTTCCGTTCACCTCTTTCATTATTCTCACCTTGCCCTGTCCTGTTCCATGGCGAGGCGACCAACCAATTAAGTCGAAACATGTTTCCCTAAGATGCCAACCTCGCCTCGGTGCAAGTCCTTTGGACCATTAGGTGTGCGAGGCCCATTCACTCGGTCTCCCTTAGTTTTGGTGACAAAAGAGGTTGTGCCTGCTTCTAGAGGCGACGTTCTTTTCTAAGCTAGCAGCCATTGTTGTTCATCATTAAATTCTATATTGAAGACTTCCACCAACTTTGGTGGTGGCTTCATGGCCAAGATTTGGCTACGAACAGTAGTAATCTCTTCTATACCCATCAAGAAATTAAATCAAAGTGTTTCGAGCATTCTTCCTTAGCTATAAGAAATTTCACTTTTGGCGACGAAATATTCGTCGCAAAAAGCTAAAACCCCGTCGCAAAAAGAGCAATCATTCGTCGCCCATACAGCGTCGCAAAAAGTTTGCGACGAAAATTACCGGTTCGTCGCAAAAAACCAGATTCGTTGCGGAAAGATATCTGGTTTGGCGACGGACATTTCGTCGCAGAAAAGCTCTATTTGGCGGCGATATAGCTCCGTCGCAGGAAAAGATTGTTTCGCGACGATGCGTCGTTGCTGGAAAACATAATTCGCGACGGACATTTCGTCGCAAAAAGTCACATGCTTTTGCGATAAAGACCTTTTCGGCAATTTATTTCTTGGGAACCTATTTTTGAGATTTTCAAAAAAAAAATCCGGTTCATTTAATTTTTTGATTCATTTTAGCATCAGTCATTTTCTTGTTCATTTTCACAATTTATTTTCCCACTCCCAAAATCCAGATTTGAAATCCATAGCTGTTCTGCCTCACTGGTGCTCGCTTTCCCTTTCCTTGTTTCAAACCAAAAACCCAAAAAGGCAGTAAAAGAGGTCAGCATTCATTCAGAAAAGGTAACAAACAAATTAAAAACTAACAAGAAATAATAAAAAAAGATGTAGTCCCTTGTCTTCGTCGCCCACTTCGCCTGTTCCGACTGCCGGCGCTCTCACTAACGTCGCCGACTTCTTCCGTTTCTGATCCCCACATCGAAAATATAAATTAACCCAGAAACTAGAGCAAGTCAGAACCCCGTTGAAAAAAAAATCGAAAGAAGAGCATCTGCATGCGACGATCTTACCTAGATCTACTAGTCGGACTGAGTTTGGCACCGGTCGTTTTCTAAATCGGACTCCATCAAGCTACTGAGGAGGAGGAAGGGGGTCGGATTGCCAATTTGATGATGTCGTGGGGAAGGAATTGAAAAAGATAGATCTTGATAGCAGAGGAAGAAAGCAGAGGCAGCTGGTAGGATTAAGAGTGGAAGAGAAGGAGAGGAGAGGAAATAAAAGAAGTCGGCAGATCTGAGGAAAGCAAGGTTATCAAACCGGTTTATGCCAGTGTGCCGGTTTAGCAAGTGAAATGGTTCGACCGGTAGCATATACCAGTTTGTGCCTGTTCGTGGCGGTTAATATTACAAATAAATTATAAATACTCATATTTAAACATGGCATTTATCGTTAATACCTAAAGGAATGAGTTATTTGGGCTCAAATAACTCATTTGGGTATTTATTTTGAGGATGAGTGATTGTGTACCGTGTTATTTCCAAATAATGCGTAAACGCGTTAATTAGAATACCACCGGGGGTGCTGTTATTTCGAAATAACGCATAGACCCGGGAACGGATCAGGTCAGTAACCTTATGGCGAGTAACCATGAGTAACCAGCTTACATCAGCATGACATCAACATCCATCTCTCCTCGAAAGCATTTAATTTTCCCTTTCTTTATCTTTGACGGAAGATTTCTCACTCGTTTTAAGTCAAAATTTAATTTTTTTTACACAGTTATCAGATTAATTGTGCTCTTCAAAATGATATCCACTTTGATATATTTTTCGAACAAAAAAAATTGAGCCATTTTTTACCCGTCTATACCATATGGTATTGATTGGTATTGAAATAAGAACATACCTATGGTTTGAAAAGCGTACCATGGTGGTATGGACAAACCAAGACTGTAGGATGGTTGAATACATGATAGTAGAAGTATATTAACTGTCATTTACGACTTTTATCATTGTATACCATAATATACCACCCCGTACCAGGGTGGTATTGTATGGTATTGTGTGGTATTTTTTGGCATGTAATTTGTTCACCCAGAAATTTGTAGATCCAATAGATCATGATGAACTCGTCCCTTCTATGCAAACGTTTTCAAAAACGAATTAAAAACGAAGAAAATACCATATGGTATGCAGTTCGTACCGAGAGGCCAAAAATTTTTTTCTAAAAAAATATTGAAAATTGATCTCATTTTGTAGAGCAAGATGAACTCGTTCCATCTGTGCAAAAAAAAAAATTAAAATCCGAGTTAAAACGAAAAAGATATGAGCTGATTAAAAAAGTTAGGAGAAATAAAAATGGTCTTTAATTCTCCATTCTTACATCTGGATTTTCTAAATGAAGGGTTCAGATTTGGTTATTGATGGGTGCATAACCCATTATATACCCACCTTTTCTGCCCGTCAGCGCCTTTCTCCTCTCTCCTCTCGCCAACATTCTTTCCTCTTCTCTTCGGATAACCCATTCTTTAGCCCAAAAACAAAATTGATCGAGGGACGGTCTATTCTTCTTCTATCTTTGAACTCCTTGTTTCATGCAGATCAATTAGAGTAGGCGAAAGCCTAGGTTTCGTTGTCGGCGAACGGAAGCAGCATCGGTGAGTTTTATTGGTGGCGAACCGCAACGGCGGACGGAGAACGACAAGCAGCAGCGATTCGTTGGCGAACGGCGGATGAAGGCGGATTCGTTGGCAAAAAACAGTAAGTGGATTTCGTTGGCCTTGGCGGATTCTTTGGCGGCGAATGAAACTGGATTGCAACGAACGGCGAATGGTGGCG